TGACCAGAAAGGGTCTAAGGTATGTCACAGATGGGCCAGGACAGTGAGCAGATCGTAGCGTTTGAAACTTCCCTGAAACATATTGAAAGGGGAGGGTCAAGGAGGAGGAGGGGGGAGTCACACAATTTTCGAGTCTTTCTAATTGTGCCTAGTGTTTAAAAAATTTTTTTCAATGTTTTCATTTATTTTTGAGAGGCCCAGAGAGACAGAGTGTGAGCAGGGGAGGGGCAGAGAGAGGGAGACACAGAATCTGAAGCAGGCTCCAGGCCCTGAGCTGCCCGCACACAGCAGACATGGGGCTCGAACCCACGAACGGCGAGATCCGAACTGCTTAACCGACTGAGCCACCCAGGCGTCCCTTATTGTGCCTGACGTTTAAATGACATGAGGCCTATTTGTCATGAGAGACGCTATTTATTGAGCACTCGGAACGTGCCAGGTGCTGGGCTCAGAACACTCTCTTCTGGGGATCATCTCATTGAATGGCCCGACCTTGGCCAAGCCACTGCCTTCTCTGAGCCTGGGTCTGGGCAATGGACGCAGTGTAGTTTCTGCCTCACAGGCCCGCGCAGCTGCTGGAGCCCCGGAGCTGCCCTCGGGGGGGGGGACATCCTCACACTCAGCCCCCTGTCTCTCCCAGCCCGCCCAGGACCTTCCCAACCTTGGTGAGCCAAGGAAGGCATGCTGCTCTGGGACGGGGACAGCCACAGCCCCGCTGGCCCCGGGGCAAATCCTTTCCCTTTCCCCAGCCCCAGTCTCATCCTGATCCCGAGGGGCTCTTGTCAAGATCAGGCAAACCCCTCCATTGAGAGCACTTTACAATTGGCAGAGCTGGCTGAGTGGGAGGTGTGGCTGTCGTTACCAAGGTCGGGGTATGTGCTGGCTCCTCCCCTAGGTCTTTGGGAAGAGGCCAGGAGGACAGGTAGGCAGAGGCCCACCGTCCTGCCACTCCCAGAACCAGGGCAGACCTGGGTCCCTTTGCAGGGACTCAGCGCACGAAGCTGTGAACACTCCGTTCTCACACTGGCTTGAAGCTCCTTGGAGTCATGAATCGTCGACGAGACTTCCAGGGGCAAAAGAAGGAAGCAGCCACCGCTGTGCCCAAGAGGGGGCAGGGCCCGCGACAATGACCCTAAAGATGCTGAGGTCTAACCTGACGAACCCTGTGGCTGCCTCGTCTGGGTTTGGTGCTTTGCAAACTTTATTTCAATAAGAAAAAAAAAACCTCACAACCACTCTGGAGGGTAGCCACCCTTATCCTTATTTCACAGATGGGAAACTGAGGCCCAGGGAGGCTAACGAATGCAATGACCGATCTGGGATTCAGCCCGAAACCTGCGTGTCCTAAACTTGTATAAAGGGATTATAAGATCTCCTGGCTCCCAGGGCTGTGGCCAGGATTCCGTGAGACAATGTGCATGAAGCCAGGAGCTCACGCCCCGTCAGGCACAGGCCAGGGATGGGCAGGAGCTGTGTTATCAGTTCAGCTGCAGGCTTAGCGAGCACGGGGGTACCTGCCGCATCCGGGGGACAACGGGGCAGGGGCGACCGCTAACAAGCACAATGACCTCTGAGCAGTGGGTCAGTCAGAGGACTGACCAAGATGGGCGAGTGCTATTTCGGGAAGAACCCTGCCCGGGGAACACCCTGAATTTCCAGGGGTCAGAGCCTTTCCCTGGGTTGGGAGCCACTGCGTGGTCCTGCCCC